CGGCGTTCGACGCGGTCTAAACCGGGCAAACTCCAGAGGCAAGGTTGGTGGGTCACGATGGGATAGTGTTATATTGTGTGCATCAGGTGCCCACCGCAAAAAGCCCGCCTATTCTGTCATCGGCGGATGCAACAGTCGAGCAGGTTGCGTCCAAGGATATTGCCCAACCCGCCACCCCTGTTAAGTGGTGAGAGGCGCAGAGGGCCGTGCAATAACTCGCTTCACGCCACTGCTGGTAGAGCAGCCTCCATGAGCGGGAGCCCTTCCAGACGATATATTGGCTTATATGTTTGGCCTACTCATCTACGCCGGCGAGACAGACGTCGTGTAAGAGGTGGGGATAACCCACACGCTGATCGACAAACTGGGTCGTTACCACCCATCTATACCGAGGCGGGTCCGTTAAAACAAGCTGCGCCGTCATTTTAACTGGACTGCAGTGCGCGGGGCGTGAACCGTTACACCAAGGACACATCCCGAAGCCAATTCGGGGCCCTCTTCCAAAAATAAGCCTCGAGAGACTGAGCGAGGCCTGCTTAGGATCAACGGAGGGCGCGACTCAAGCGTGCCCTGCAGCAGCAGCAGCCAGCAGGGTCTACACGGTGGGCAAGTGTTGTTCTATGCCGCCACATCAATGACTTCACCAACCCGGCACCGCCAAGCCTGATTACAGTCAAATCACCACCCCCGCGAGCTGCAAGGCGTGGGTGGAGAGGCCCTCGTCCAGCAGTGGATTTACAACATGGCTATACATGTGGATAAGTAATTTCAAGCAAGTTTGGTTGGTCAGTGCACTCGACTCGCAACCTCAAAAGTTCTCATTTCAAATCCTAACCGAGAATCGGCTCAGCCCACCAGCACCACCATGCTCCTGGGTCGGTAAAATACGTACCATTTTGAGGTAACTCAACAGTCGTTTCCCTATGCACAAAATGCCCCCCCCCTCTCCCCACCCGCCATAGGAATTCAGCATTTCCAGCAATGCCGCAGGGGCACCAACAGAGAGAGGAGCAGAGACTTTCTTACTGCTCCGACGTTTCCACTGTACAACCGAGGCGTACCACGCCAGCAGGGCCCGGCTTCAAGGAGGCGCCAGGTTGTTTTTTCCACTGCATAAGCCGAGCCGTGCCGTCGACACACGCAACGAACTGGGACTCGGACAGGCGCGCAGGTGACGCGTGACGATGGGGGTCACGAGCACTCGCCCCTGGCCCCTGCTTGGCGCCCCGAGCCAGATTCGGTTGCCTTGCGAGGCCAGCGGTGGAGCCGTTTGGTTGCGGCTCAGCTCGGCAAATAGCCGGACGAACAAAAAAGCCACCGGTAGCACGAGGGGCCCCACGCTGGCGCAGTGTGGATGTAACAGTTGGAAGGGACTCTCTCTAAGCCTTTAGAATGGAAGCTTTGCCCGCTTATCCTAAAATAATAAACAGCTACATTGGCTCGTATGGAATAATATGGTGGTCAATGTCAGCTGTGAATAATAAAAATGAGGTTTGCTTAAGGTATAAAAAAACACATTAATACTTCATTTAACTTAAAAAAAAAACGCTGCCGGTCGAGTAACGGCAAGCGACGAACCTCGAGGGGGGTAAAGCGAGAAGACACAGCTCAACATGCAGGGAACTCGCTCACTCGCTCAGGCACCACATACTGACGCGGCGAGCTCCGGGTTGTTCACGAGCAACCAGGAAGAACAATCGTGTGCGTGCATGGACTGCGCAACGTTCTGCGACGCGTTTATCCTCGCAGGTGGCGAGTCGGCGATGGTGACGACGACGATTAACGGGAGGGCCCCGCTTCAAGCGCGCAAGGAAACGCCACAAGCAGCGTGAACCTGGGACAGCACTTTGCTGGGCGACCGCCGGTCGTGCCCAAAATTAGTTGCAGGCTGCTAGGAGGGGCCACCTTGTGGGTAGCAGAAAGGGGAAAGTGCAGCGACATCCACTGTTGTACCGCGCTCAGCTCCTGCCGTCACCAACCTGCACACTGACCAGCGTGGTTGAGAGCACGTTCCAGCAAATAACACTCCGCATGCCCAACGTGGCGTTGGAAGAAAGCGTGCAAGGCCATCATCCAGCAGTGGATCGACTTAAGACAGCTGTACATGCACTTGTGGTGACATCACTGCCGCCTGTGTAGCAGCAGTGGCTTTTAATTAGTCACCGCGGCACCCCCTCAAAGTCGCTTTGAAAATGTTTTTTTTCTCCCGTCAATAACGATCTTTAAACTCGAGAGGGGACAACCCAGGACACTGCCGGGGCCAGTGGCTGAACAAGAGGTGGTTGCGTGGCTGCTCTCATGCGCGGTTCCAGGTTTCGTGACGTTCGGCGCGACGTCCGACGGTCCGCATCACGCGCCCCGGGAGCTCGCTTCAGGAACGATGGTTCCAAGACCTGACGAGCCGTCAGGGGGAACCGGTTCCTGAAGAAGCTCCCGGAGAGCAGTGGAGTGAAACGGCGGGGGACGCGGTGCCGAACGACGAGCGTTGGGAGTGCCGTACGGTGGCACAACCGCGACACGTTGAGGAAATGGAAGCTCTCGAAACCCACGATCCACCGTCGAGATGGATGCCACAAAAAAGCCGTCGCTCGTTCTACCTTCGTGGTGAGCGCCAACGTCGTATTATTATTTTCATCACGAGCAACTGCCACTTCCTCAAAGAACAATCAACAAACACCAGTGGGCTCCCCCCGACGCGGTCTTGGGGGGGGGGGGGGCGTGCCTAACCGCGCTGTCGCTCGGCGTGATGTCCGGACGTTTCGCCCCACGTGCCAGCACGTGGGGCGAAACGTCCAACATCGTGCCGAGACAAAACTACACGCTAACGGCGCGGTCCGAGATCGCATCGGAGAGCCGCGCGGCAGCACGATGACGACAGCACTTATGCAGTGAAGCCCATCACTCCTCACTGGCCGTCTTCTCAACGTATCTAAACCCACCGTGCCGTGTAAATATTTGCCTTAGTTTGAGGGTGGATTATAAAAAAATATTTTTTAAATTTTCGTGGATGTCCGATCAATTTGAATGAGAAACCCAGTGACCTGATGTATGATGAGGTGTGGATGAAGAGGGGCGATACAGACTTCATAGGCCTGCATGCTCATCTTTAAGCTTAATCATCATCTCGTTTCCTTCTCTCTCAATAGAAATTGTGCGAACCGATTGGCAGCTAAGCAAAGGAAGGAATCCGAGGGGAACGTCAACCGGGGAGATGGATGAAATAAGATCATGCTCAGTGGATTATCAAATCTCAGGATCGTGAGAGGAGGTGGTGGTGGTGGCAGCTCAGGAAGGCTTTCGTCCAGCAATGGATTGACCAGAGCTGACGATGATTACTGGACTTTAAAATATAACGCATTTGATACTTTCACAAATACAGCTTCATGAATGGTATATCATCGTGTTTTAGTATCATACACTTGTTAAACGAACCTTACTCTACTAGTGATTTTTAACGTTGGACTTTTTATCAAATAATGTTCTTGTGTGTGGGGGGAGCGGGGGGGGGGCATCTCTTCATCTCGTGGTACCACGAGATGAAGAGATGCCCCCCCCCGCTCCCCCCACACACAATCAGCTGATTCGCATTGTACCAGGGAACAGGCCCTGCAGATGACATTCCGTGGGCAAAGAGGATAAACTGGTATCACCCAAAGTAGGCCCATAAACCAAAGCAGTACCCCATTTATAAGTGCGAATTACTCAAAAACACCACCCATTTCCCAGTGGTTCTCACACAATGCACTGTTGGAAACCGAAAAATGACACTAACCTCAGGTGATAGCGACGAGTGGGATATCTCGCCTGGGGCTCAAGGGACTCAGACCCCCCCTCCAACACCAATAGCGGCGTTCTTCTTCCCATCCGGCCTCTCTCACCAACGTTAGACGGTCGCTTGTTCACAATCCCTAACCGGTGGTCCCCCCCTTCACGTGTCGGTTATCCGATGTTCAATTTGTAAAGTCGGCGCTCGCAGCCGTTAGGTTCCATTGCACAGTCAAGCGACCGGTGAGCGTGCCAAGGCCGTCCACTCGCTACACTTGACAGGGCACCGTTTTAAAATCGTCGTGGGAGTTTTTAGTCAAGGTTTCCGCAGCCTTGATTACAATCCAGTCATTCACCCGGTCTCCATCCACCACAAAGGTCAAGCGCAAACCTTAACGCGGCTGGTGGTTCTCCGCCAATAACGAGGATCCATAATTGATTTCTGTACTTAGGCCGGCCACACAAACGATCCGATCGAAATTTGTGTTAAGATCCCTTCACCACCGGATGGGGCCAAAAAAAGATGGCTCGGTCAGATCGTTATGTGGCCTCGCCCAAGATATCAAATGAATCGCAAAACAACGTCCATCTGCCTTCGTGACCGGCGCACCCGCGTACATAAGAGTTTGAGCGCGCGTGCGTACGCAAACATTGCTTTTGCCGTCGATGGAAACCGGGTGGAAGGTGGGCAGGCGACTTGAGCAACCAAGTGGTTATGAAGTCACTCGCAGTCACAGCCGGACACGGTAAGAATACGAGTCGCAAGCACGGGCAGCGGAAACCCAGACGCAAAAAACCCACCATCTCAGCAATGCTGAGTGCTGTGACAAAATCAGCCCTCCCTCCACCAAGGTGACAACTTCAACATCACTTCCTTGCTTCTGCCAGATCCCAGAGCTGACGCATAGTCGACACCCGACCTCCAAGTTCCGACACGGGCCTTTACGAACAGGCCGAGCCAGCCAGGCTGACCTCATATATAGGTGGCTCTATATTAATAATGCTGCAACAGTCCGTGTCACAACTTTAAAAATATAAACAGATTTCCCTGCTTGGTTACCAAGCGTGAATTCGCCGCTTAAAATCAACGCCACCGCGAGCCGTGCAACGCGCGCAACCGTTTCCACGGCATTGGCATCAGCGCCTCACGGCGGGCAGGAAGCGCGAGTGTGGGTTGCCCGCCGTTTCAGAGGCCGGGAGGTCAATGTATCCCCCCCCACCACCACCTTCCCCCCGCCCCCACCTCTTCCCCCTCCGCCGCCCCCCGCCCAAGTGGGGGCATCGCGAATTGTAATCCACGCACAAGCAAGGGCTTTGGTGCCTGAACCGTTTGTGAGTTCAATCCAGATGATGGGCCCAGAGCAATTTTCAAGTTAACGCCAGCAAAGTGGAAAACGTGTGTGTAAAAGGGGGTGTGTGTCTGTCTGTGTGTGTTCGTGTGGTGTGTGCGACTAACATCAGTTGCCCCAACAGTCGGCTATGTTTGTTTGACTTGTGTGTGTGCGGGGTGCGTGCATGTGATGTGTATTATGTATGTGCAGGTGTTTGTACTTGAACGTGTTGTGTGGTGAATATAGTGAGTGTACATGTGCTTCTATTAAACAAAACATAATATTGTTTTACCACCAGGTAAAGCTCAGAGCTATACAGCTCTTTTTCAGAAGCGACCTGGCCACAAATGACAGCTCAACGAAGTGGCTTACCATGTGGAAATTTACAGCAGCCAAATACTCTAAACGTGTGATGTTGATTGTAAATGTGGAGGAAAAAACCAGAGGACCCGCAGAAAAATCCACGCGACCACGGGGAGAGAGACATGCAAACTCCAAATATACAGCAGCAGGCATTGTCAGGGTCGGGATAGAACCCACAACCTCCTGCGTACTAGGCGAGGGAGATAACATCTTGTCACCACGGCTTCTGTATTAGTGTGCATGTAAATACATACGAGTTTAGATCTGTGTGTGTGCGTGTAAGAACGTATACACGAGTGTGTATACGAGCACATGCGTGTGCGCGTACATTCATATGTGTGTACGATTACGTCTGTGGGTTTTTGGACATGAGTGCGTGCGTGTGTGCACGAGTGCGTGTGTGTGCATGCGTGCACGTGCATACATGCGCGTACACAAGTGCATGCGTTTAACATGTGCTTACAACTGTGCGTGCATGTGCGCGTGTGCATGCATCTGTCAGTCACGCCCAACCCCGCTGGCATTCATTTCGACAGCCAAACGAAAATATATATAACAAATAACGCTAAATTATTACCGTTTGATAATTGCGATCGTACAAAACAAATGCGAGAAAACCGTAGGGAAAAATCTCTTTCGGCCAATGCGTAACCCCCTTTCAGTTTTGGACATTTATATAAAAACAAAATAACTGCAAACTCCAGCAGCGGCGGTCCAGTGAAGTCACAAGTCCCCATCAGAGTTTAGTATTTTTTCACGTCGTGCAGCCGAGACAATGGCGATGTCTCCCAACTGCGGTGGTGCCAATGAGTGCCAAAACTCCCGCGATCACTCTGAGACAGCAGTGCCGGCAGCTTCCGAGGGTAAGGAGAATTCCAACGCTGGTGAAGCCCCGCTGTTGCGGTAATACCTAGCCCGCGGCCGGCAGTCCACAGCTCCTGCTGATAGCTACGAATCCCATCAACGGGGATCTTCGTAAGCGATGACTGCAAACAGGGGGTGAGGATCAGCAACAAATCCTTCCAAGAGACGTCAAAGGCTCCCAAACACTGACGACGGTGGTCAAGCGATGACTCCCACTGATGGCGAACCCCAGCGTTGCTGTCGTCTTCCTCGAGCAGCGGGGCTTGGCGGCCCCAACTTGCGGCAACGTGCTCCAACCGCAGCCGACGACTCCCAATTGTAACGAGGACTCCTCTTCCGAGCACGTGGCGATGACTGTCCAGGCTCTTGCGCACCCAGTCTCCCGCTGGACAGTTTTCTAACTAGCCCAGGTCGCCCACTAGCCCCGGTTTCCCATTCACTTGGGTGTCCCGGCGAGTCAGTCGCCCCCCACTCTCTTGCCCACCTGCTCGCCACAGTTGCCCACTTCACCCGGTCACCCGTGAGCTGGGTCGCCAACTAGCCTGGTCATTCACAAGCCTGGTCCACCCACTTGGCCCGGTCACCCACTTAGTCTGGTCACTCCGGGGATAGACTGCTCATATCTGCACCACGTCCTCCAGCACTCGGTAGCAGATGAGGAAGTATGGGTAGCACTGGTCATTGTCGAAGACGACGTAGATTTGTGGGTCAGCCAGGTTGTCTACGCAGGAGTCGAACAGGTCGGAGGTCAGGTCGCACGGGTTGATTGGAGGCGGCCTGAAGGTGGTGGGGTCAAGGATCGCAAAGGTTAGGGGTTAAAGTCAGACATTAATACAAGTCGGATAGACAACAGAAATGCAGTCAGACAACCAGATATGCAGACAATCATAAGTACAAATGCACACAGATACACAGACACACAAGTACATAAATCAGTACACAACCAGATACAACACGACGTGTCTATGGCACATAGACACCATTGGATGAACACACACACGCAGTGACACCGCAACAGTAACACACACCCATACGCACAAATCCACCCATCCACACAGTGACACACAGCACCACAGTGACACAAAAATACAAAGATCCCACGTATAGCCTTTAACAGACTATTGGGGCAAGTGCTCTTAGTGGGCACCTATGAAGGCCGGCACGGCACACGAGGGAGTGGGTGGTCAGCACCACGCCCGGCCGCCTTTGTCTACCCAGTGGTGATGTTTACACACCGTGCCGGGAACTCATTTGAGGCTGTGTCAACCTAGGGGATGCCCAGAACCGGTTCAGATAATCGTCACTGGTGTTGGCCCCGAGCGGGAATCGAACTCAGGATGCCGGGTTTAGTACTGCAGCACGCCAACCGCTACACTACTGCTCCCCAAACAGTGACACACACACCAACCATCACAACCCACACAGTGTCACACATAACCACGTACCAACAGAGCCAGACACAGTGAAACAACCACCCACCCACACAATGACACTCAACCCACCCAACCCACCCAAATCACCCAATCACCCACCAATCCACCCTACCCACCCACCAATCCACAAATGAACCCACCCACCAACCCACCCACAAACCAACCAACCAGCCCGCCAACCCACCCACCCGTCAACCGGCTCTCACCTGCGAAGCGTTGGCCTGCCTTGCGCGTGCCTGCCCACCAGCACCTTGGAGAGGAACATCCAGCGGAGGCCGCGCTCCCCCGAGGGTCGTGCGTAGCCGTGCGAGTAGACGGCGCGGCGCGCGAAGTAGCAGCCCTGCCCGTAGGCCGTGGCGTGTTTCCCCGACACGCGAGGGTCAAAGTTGTGCTTGCAGATGGCGGCGCTCGCCTCGGCCGACGTGCCGTGGAACAGGTGGCGCTCCGTGGTGCGGCACAGCGGCTCCGGCAGCCGGCGGCACATGTGCTCTTTCTTCCTGGTGGCGCCAAGACAGTTGACAGGCGAGAAAGAGAGACAGAGAGTTATAGACAAGTGGTTATATCACTGCTCGTGGGTTTTGGATGTGGCTTTGGTCAAAGCGCTCCATCTCGCAATCACGGTCAACCCAGTGGCATCAAGACAGAGAGAGAGAAAGAGATCGACTTAAAGAGATACAAGAGAGAGGTGGTGTGAGAGACAGTCGGGAGTGGTTGACCGAGCGGTTGGTTGTATGAGTGGACGTGCGAGCGGTTGGTTGTATGAGTGGATGTGTCAGCGGTTGGTTGTATGAGTGGACGTATGAGCGGTTGACCGAGTGAACTCTCTCTGTCTCGCTATCTTCCTCCGTGTGTCGCGAGGCCCCCTCACCTGCAGTACTTCTCCCAGAGGAAGGGGTTCTGTACGCGGTGGATGGACACGATGGATGCCTTCGTCTCGGGCACCGTCTTGTGGAAGAGCGAGTAGACGGTACGGAAGGCACGCTCGCTCGCCGACATCTCCACCTGCACAAAGTCGGCGCTCGGCTCCATTGGCACCCACGTGGCCGGCAGCAGCGGCACCGATGACGAAGACGACAACGAGGAGGATGAGGAGGACAAGGAGGAGGAGGAGGATTGCGACGGCGTCACCAGCATGGGGTTCGCCAACTCTGCCGGGTCGGCCAATGTCCTGCGGAGGAGCGGAAGGGTCGAAAGGGTGGCAGCATGGTCGGTTACGACATCTCTCTCTCCGCTCTGCTGTCTCCCACGCTGGGGTCGGCTCATAAGTCGGGGGTTGCAGGTTCGAGTCCCCGTTAAGGGTGCGACAGCACGATTAAAACCGCGGTGTCTACAGAGTGAGTTACCACCCTTGTGGTAAAGTCGAAAGTGGTTAAATTTAGACTTTAAGCTTTCGTGACTGCAGGAATTTTAACTTTCGTGACTGCAGGAATTCATATTCTTGGCTCTTTCGGTAAAGTCACGTAGATAGAAAACTTTGCAAGCCGACTGGCTATCAACAAAGAGTCGTTCACGAAGCCATCCATATATACAGACACAAACACAATTTCAACCGAGACGATGGTTAAAAACTCAAGAATCATTAAAAAGATGCATCAACCACTTTGGGTCATGATATTAATTTGTGTTTCCTTGTCAACCTCTCCTGTCAGCAGTCCCTCTCGCAGGTGCGTCACCATTCCTCCTCCTCCTCCCCCATTGTCTGATGGGTGTACCGAGGTGCAATCCTCCCTCCTCCCATCTCTACCCCTCTCTCCTCCCCCCCCACGTCTGCCCCACCCCTCTCTCTCCCCCTGTCTCCCGCGCAGCCCTTTCCCCCGCCCACTCACTCTGGAGCCCTTATAAGCAGCTACATCTGGAGGTTTTCCCTCTTTTCTTTCCACCTGAAGAAGACCGCTTGTGTTGCGATCGAAACGTCGTGGGTTTTTTGCTTTTAATTTAGATTTTTGTTTTCTATCTACGTGACTTCACCGAAAGAACCAAGAATATAAAAAGTGGGTGGTCTACAATAATAAAGACTTGCCCCTACCATAAGAATGTGGAAATTCCACCACTGGCTCAGGGCTGTAAACTGGGGATGAACAGTCTTATTCAATACTAATCAGAGCAGGAAATAGTTTGTGAGTATACTCCGATTAGCACGGTTGCCTACGTAAGGTACGAAAGAAGTTACACGTACAAAACATAGGTTCGATGTTTGTCTATGGGTCTCCGTGTAAGTCAATGGGACTCTATGCTCGTCTATATGTATCAGTGGCATAGTCATTTGCATGGGCCCCTTCGGTGTAGTTGCATCACCTGCACACTCGATAGCTACCCCATTGCATGTCTGTCTGCACAACACGTGGGTGTGTGTGTACCGGATCTGGCCACATTCCCATCAGCGAGTTCCTCTGGCAGGCAAGGCTGGGTTGGCTGGGTCATGTAGCCCGCATGCCCAGCCACTGCATGCCCAAGCAGCTTCTGTTTGGCCGCATAGAGGGGGCTAAACGGGCACGATATGGGTTGGAGAAGAGATGGAGCTGATGCGGTACGGGAGGATGTGGTGTCAAGATCGGCCTCGATGGAGGAGGCTTGTGAAGAACGCTACTGGGCAGTTGGAGGCGGTCCCCCTCCAGCAACAACAGAGGGTAGAGGAGCAATGCTCACAAGAAAAAGCGGAGCGCCGGGCGGCTAAAACGCAGAAAGTTGACACAGCAGGGTGTACCAGCTGGTGCATCTACCAGTCATCTCAGTCAGCCAACCCATGGCATCTGATTCTGTCCCGAGACCTCCTGTCAGCGAGCCTTCGACACTTCACGTAGGCCTCAAAGTGCACCTGGCCTGGCAGAGGCGTCGTGGTGACGTCACCGTCACAGGTGTGTGTACGCGAGTGTGTGTGTACGTGTGTGTACGAGTGTGTACGTGTGAGTACGCGAGTGTGTGTGTACGTGTGTGTTCAAAATGTGGAGAGTGGTAATGTAGCAGTTAGCACACTGCGTTATGAACCTGCCGACCAGCGTTTGATTCCTGCTCCCAGCCAACATCTGTGGCGAATACCTGAACCAGTGCAGGGCCTACCCTAGGTCAACTCGGCGAGTACCTGGTGTGGTGAGTAATGGCAACGGAGAGACAGCCAGGCGTGGTGCCAGCAGCACCACTGCCTCGTGCACCGTTATCGGCCTCCACAGGCGCTCGCTAACAACGGCACACTCGTCTCAACAGTCTGCTAAAGGCTACATGGGAGGGGGGGGGATCTTTTTCCATGGTGGGGCATCGTTCACCTGAGCAGAGGCAGCAGCAGCACGGGCGAGCGGTAGAGCGGGCGCCGTGCCACACGCTGCTGCGTCCCCAAGGCCAGGTCGTGCTGCACGGAGCTCGCCAGGTCCACGACCACCCCACCACCACCAACACAACCGCCACCACCAGCACCACCGCCAGCACCAAGAGCCGCACCAGCAACTGCACCGGCACCGCTCTGCTCGCGCCGGGCGGGTACCACCACCTCCCGCTGCCCCGCACGCCAAGCTGCCTCCAACTGCAGAGCCAGTGGCTATGGTGGGGGGTGGGTTATGGGAAGGGGTCATAGGGTCACGGTCACGGGGTGCGGAAGGCAACAAGGGCAATGAGAATGAGATGGGTGAGTGAACGAGTGGGTAGATAAGTGAATGAATGAGTGAGTGAATGATCGGGTAGATAAGCGAAGAAGCAAACAGAGGCAGAGGAGACAGGAGGGGGCAGAAATAGGCCGGAGAAGACAGCAGAAGAAGCAGAAGAAGCAGGTTGCAGGGGCCAATAGGGGTCCAATAGGGGCCAGCAGGGGCCAGCAGGACCCAACAGGGGCCAGCAGGGACCAGCAGTGGACAGGAAGGGCAGTGCCCACCTCATCGTACTCCTTCCAGCACAGCTGGTCCTTCCAGTAGATCTTCCACAGGGTACAGAACTCGGGGTTCGCGCCTCCGGGCTCAGACACGGAGAGGCGACGCAGGCGGTCATACCCGGAGTCGCGCACAAGCATCGTGTGCAGGTCCACCACCATGCGGCGCAGCCTGCACACCGTGGGGGGAGGTCAGTGGGTTAGTAAACAGATATGCGAATGGGTGAAAGAATAGCAGTGTGGTTGGGTGAGTGAATGAGGGAGTCAATGGGTCGGTGCATGCGTGGGTGAATTCCAGTGTGGATGCGTGAGTGGGTGGGTGAATGGGCGGGTGAATGGGCGGGTGAATGGGCGAGTGGCTTTGAAGTGTGGGGTGGCTGAATGGGTGACCCAATTCCAGTGTGGATGAGTGAATGGGTGGGTGAATGGGGTGGGGTGAAAGGTTGAGTGAATGGCAGAGTAAATGGGCAAGTAGGCGCGAGTGTGGACACGTTGATGATCTTGCGGGTGGGTGGGTGATTACGTAGCCGACTCAAGGCCAAAGTTGCCGCATAAAGGAACCGAAGCCAGGTGGGGCTATTGAGACCAAGGGCAGCCCTTACAAGGGGAGGACATAAATCCAAAGTGAGGTCGCGGCTCGGCTCAGGACTGGCTCTGGACTGGCTCTGGACTGGCTCTGGACTGGCTCTGGACTGGCTCTGGACTGGCTCTGGCTGGGGCGAGCCGGCTTCGAGCCACCACGCTTCACTTAAGCCGGCTACTGAGCACGGTCCGGGCCATGCTCAGGATTCCCACAAGCCGAAGCCCCGAGCAACAGCTGAGCCGCTCACTCATGCGATCTTTGGGAACCATCGAGTGGTTTGGGCCAGAGTCCAACCTGAGTGTTAAAATCCAAGCCAGAGCTGAGCGCCCGAGCCACGACTAAGAGGGTCACTCAAAGCGAACTTTGGAAGTCGCCAAGCGGCTTGGGCCAGAACAGAGCCTCGAATAACAACCACGAGAGAGCTTTCCTGGGAGGCCGCGGCATCTGCAGCTTGACCGCAATGCAAGAATCCTGGCAGCAGGAAAAGAAGCGACGGGAGATGCACGGTGACGTCAACCGCACAGCAGCATCGCCGTCGGTTTTTTCCCCCCAAACTCTTGATGCGACAAAGTCGCCAAAAAAAATGTGCCAAAAAAGTGCTGCGTGTTTACAAAACAAATCCCCCAGGGGAGGGGGTTTACCACAGAAAGATAAAGACGCCTCTGGCTCAAAACCCGTTGCACAACAACCAAAAACCCCACCACCCCCCCAGGTCAAAACCTGCAAACCGAGTTGTGAACTCGCGTTATGACGCATTCATTGCGGGTGGCCTTCAACCTGCCACTCGCTGCATTCCCGCGCCGTGCCGCCGCCGCAGTTGCCAAACGAGGAGTTGCAACTTTACAGACAAACACGTGGCGGGAGGGGCGGTGTGGGGGAGACAAACGAGGCGCCCGGCGTGAGGTTTCATTACCAATTGAAAGAATTTGAAGCTGTGGCCTCGTGACTCGTCAGGTGACTCACTACACTGCTCTGCAGAGATGTCAGGGTCCACCCAAGGTGAAATCGCAGCCTCAAAACAAACCTAAAACCTCGCCAGGAGCCCACACAGCCTCGCCAGGAGCCTACAGCTGCAATGACTAAACTACACTTTTAAACTATTTGTTGATTTACAAGGTAAGGCCCACTGAGCGATACAGCTCTTTCAGAAGCGACCGGGCCACAAATTTCGATTTAAAGCTTTCGTGACTGCAGGGATTCATCTTCTTGGTTCTTTCGGTAAAGTCACGTAGAAGGGAAGTAATGTTAATAGTATGTAGCTGCAGTTACTAAACAACCACGTAGAAAACTAAAGTATATTTTCTCTGAGATAAGAGCTAAGCTAGTTCTAGACAGAATTCGTTTCGCATTAGAAGAAGTTACAGCAGCAGATGTTAGTGTAAATGCGTTTGGTATTACAAGCTCCGTGATAAGAAGGCTCAGCTAATCGAGTCTCTCACCTTTCTGAAGAGATGCCGTGACTCTAAGGTAATACCAAACGCATTTACACTAACATCTGCTGCTGTAACTTCTTCTAATGTGAAACGAATTCTGTCTAGAACTAGCTTAGCTCTTATCTCAGAGAAAATATACTTTAGTTTTCTACGTGGTTGTTTAGTAACTGCAGCTACATACTATTAACATTACTTCCCTTCTACGTGACTTTACCGAAAGAACCAAGAAAACGGGCCACAAATGTTAAGCACAACAAAGTGGCTGATTACGTTTGACTTTGATTGCAGCCAAATTACTCTAAACGCCCCTCCACGATTCTAAATATGGAGGGGAAAAAAAAACACGCCCAATATTCAGCAGGCGTCAGGGTTGGGATTGAACCCACAACCTCCTACATACCAGGCGAATGAATTAACATCTCGCCACCGTAGCTCCCCTAAATGACTCCAGCCTGAGGTTACAACCTCGACATTGACCCAATCTAGACACCGACACAATCTAGACACTGACACAGTCTAAAAACTGACCCACAGCCACAACATGAACCCACAGCCTCAACCCGCACCGGGCTACGATATGGCAGCCGCTCCACAATCGTCTATAGAACACGGTGCATGGAAGGGGGACTTGTTCAGGCCGAGTATTAATAGCCCCACGTCGAAGCCGGATTTGAGAGGTGACTCTGCAGTTATTTTTTATTCTTTTAAACGCACAAGCAGATTATGGCCATCAGATTTGCCTGACTCGGCACCGGTTTGATTATGGCAACAACAGGAAACAGCTGTGCTTGGGGCTCTCGCTGGACATTGCTGTACTTTTACATTTCATGGGAGGAACAAAAATAATTTCCAAGTGGGGGTTTATTTGGTTGCCGGGTGGGACTACACGTGTCCCCTTGTGAGGTGACGCACTGCTAAGTCACAACATTCGTAACTCAAGCACCTGTAATTTAAGACTCGTTTTCAAATGTCTTCACCCCATTCCAAAGATATAATGCTAAATTTGGCACTTGTTTTGTTTCCCTCTCAATCCATACAATGCCACCTCACTCTACCTAAGCAGGGTCGAGCCCGGATCGCGCCTGGATGGGCGACCGACCGTACACAAGAGCAGGTGCCGCTATATGCGGCTTGCGGGGCCCAAGTTGTGGGCAGCAAAGGGGCCCAGCAGTGCAACAAAAACCATTATTGTACTGTACCATGCGGTACCGTCTACGTTCCAACCCTTCGCCAACCTGCCCTGGGTGACTGGCGTAGTGAAGTATTGCACGGGTAGGCTCTCATCCAGCAGTGGATTGACAAAGGGACGTGACATCTTACTCCTGAGTTGTCCACTGCACGATTGTAAATATAACCGTTTGAAAAACTAATAAGGTGCATGCATGTGTAGTGCTTCAATAAAGACATACACACGACGCGAGTTGAGGCGAGTCTATTGAACACAGTGTAGCGCCGTGTAGCGCCGTGTAACGCCGTGTAACATTGTGTAACCCCCTTACGCACGAGTGTGACCCACAATGACGACCCTTGACCGTATCCCTGCTGCCCTCTGGCTAGGCCCTCCTTCTGGCACCCCCCAGGAGGCTGCCTCCCTTGATTACCCGAATGACGGGATGTACGGGGATTACACATGCATTAATATGTAATGTTTAATACATTCCATATTTATCATTGTAACAATAAAGATCATAATTAATAATGATATTGCAGCATCTGTGCGGTGAGGGGCGGGGAGAGATTGTCGGGGATGGACGCCCGGGACCGGTTCACATTTCACTCGCGGCTGACGTTAGCCGCGACCGGGAATTGAACTCAGGTCGCCGAGTTTGCGGCGTGGCACGGCAATGGCTGCGCTGCGGAAGTGATTAGCGGCACTGTGCTCGGCACTTTGGCAACGGTGGTTTTGTGTTCCCTATTCTGCCACAGTGCTCGCACACAACAATAAATCAAATTTGTACACAAAAAGAAAACCCCCATCACAACGGAGCACAAAAGCACAGGCTGGGAAACGAGACTCGCAAACGTGTACAACCGGTCCACAGTTTGTCTACTGCTGCGTCACTGCTGCTGTCAGTAGGTCACATTTCCTCAAATGTATTTCAATGGTGACCTCAGACAAGAGGACCACAATGCATTTCTTCAGGAACTGCCAAAGGTTTTGGTTGTATAAACGCACAAAGGCCTGAGGTCTTTTTACACACTTTTTGCATCTTGTTTAAAATATTATTCATGCCCAGATCATCCTCCCCTGCGATATTGACTCCTCGGGCCTCTCAATGAGCACTCGGCTTGCTATAAATAACGGGAATCAACTTATCTGAACAAACAAAACAACAAAAATGTCATTAATTTATCCAGGAAGACCCCTCTTCCCCCACAGAACAGTCTCAACACAGCAGGATGATACCATAGGCGCCTGGCCAAAAAAATATTATATACATGCTCACCATACAGGCATGCAGAACCTACTTCCTGTATTGCCTTCGATTAAAAACAACTTTTGTCGCCATCTCATGCACAACATGATCTCCATCCCATCGCAATCCAGCAACCCCGGTTTTTCCCAGGAGGGTCCCCCACTACAATGACTAAACTAAGACTAAAACATTTTTTTTATTTTACCAGGTAAGGTCCACTGCGCTGTGTAGCTATTTTTGAGAAATTACCTGGCTATCACAAATGACAGCTCGACAAAGTGGCTAATAAACACATGTTTATAAATGTGGAGGGAAAAACTGGAGGACCCGGAGAAAACTCCACACGACCACGGGGAGAACTTGCCTCCCACACCCCCCAAAATCCCCGTGGCCCCTCCACCAACCAGAGAGGTCACATGCCCACACCTCTAGTCAACATGGTGTGAGGCATTTGTGTTCATGTTATGCATTAGTGCGTGTTCGTAAGGCGTGTTTAGCACAGTATGCATGGGCATAATGTGCAAAGCATTTGCTTAAAGCCTTGCGTGAATTGAAGGAACATTCTAATCTGAACCTCACGTTCATTTTAGGAGCACGACACGCACACACGTAGAGGTGCGTGTCACATTGCGCGGGTCTAATGAGGCTTAGTCAAAACAGATAAGACAGCCAGGTCCTCCGTGAACCCGCTGAAGATGAGCTTGGACCAGTGGATGTCCCTCCATACTGATAATGGGAAGGCAGCCGGATGTAGCACAGAGGTTACCAGTGGAATGCCACGCACCTATCCTCATTACCACTACCACTTGTATCATCACCACCACAACTCGCCTTCATGACTTTCACTACCACTATCAACAACAACATCAACCGCTATTCTCCACCAAGTGGCGGTGACGTCACCACGACGCTTGTGTCAGGCCATGTGCATGTTGAGGCCACGTGAAGTGTCGAACGCCCACTGGCAGGAGGTCACGGGGCAGAACCAGGTGCCAGGGGTCGACTGACTGAGATGACCGCACCACCTGTGCCCCCTACAGTGCCAACTTACTGTGCTTTAGCTCCGCTTGTTGTGAGCGTTGCTCCTTTCCCCTCCATTGTTGTTGGAGGGTGACTGCCTCCAACTGCCCAGTAGCGTCCTTCACGAGCCTCCTCCACAGAGGCCGATCTTGACACCGCTGGTACCAGTCATCGGCAAGGCCACTCAGCTCCACGTGCTCCTGTACCACATCACTCCATCTCTTCTCTAGCCCGTGCCGCGCCCGTTTAGCCCCCTCGATCCGGCCGAACAAAAGCTGTTTAGGCATGCAGTGGCTGGGCATGCAGGCTACATGACCCAGCCAATGTAGCCTTGCCTGCCGGGGACTTTGTCCAGATCTTTCAAGGATTTGTGAGCTCCTCACACAATCCAGCCTGGTTAAACCCAGGATGGATCGTAGGCAGGTCAGTCTAAATGCTTTCTAACCGGCGAAGATGTTCCATTAGGGGGGTCCACGTTTAGCAAGCATAGAGAAGGGAGGGAATGACCATCGCTGAGAAGACCCGAAGATTCATGTGGAGCGACAGACCAGGTAGCTTCCACACAGCGTTACGCTACCGATGAAAATATAATGCCGCTCAACTGATTCGGAGTGAGAGCTCTGCTGTCAAACCAGAGCCGGTCATGAGCACACTGTCCAGGTATGGGAAACTCTCCACTCTCTGCACAACTGCCCCATCACCTATTGGGAGTTGTGGGGGTGGAGTGTCCGATGGTACAAAATACCCAAGCAGGTGCTTAGTTTTGGTGGGGCTGATGGTAAGGCCCCACCTCTTAGTGGCAAGCTCCAGGTTCAGCAGCAGCGCCTCCAACTCCTCCTCTGAGTGAGCGGCAATTACCTGATCATCGGCATACATAACGTGATTGACCAATAGGGAGCCATCCCTTGACCGCACCCGGGCATCGATCAGCCTCCCATTGTATCTGTACCAGATGTAAAATCCTCCGGTACAGCAATCGAAGGCTTCACCAACTACGTGGTCGAAAAATATGTTAAATAATGTGGGAGCCAGAGGACATCCCTGTCACACCCCAAGGTGAACAGAGAATGGCTCCAACTGCCGGCCACATAGTTTTACCCGGGTCCGCTCACCATCATGAAGGTCCTTAATGACCATGAGCAGAGGGTCAAGGACTCCGAAAGCACGAAGAATAACCGAGAGCCCAGGCCTACTGATGGTATCATAGGCCTTGACCAGGTCAATAAAGCAGAGATATAGGTTTTGTTGGAATTCCCTACACCTTTGCTGTAGCAGACGGACAGAAAATATGGCATCTGTGCAGGACCACCATTTCTTGAAACCGCATTGAGGCTCCGCAAGCCTCTCAACGTGCCTGGCAAGGCGATATTGAATAATCCTTGCCAGGACCTTTCCCGGCACACTGAGGAGTGAGATGCCCCTGTAGTTGTTACAGTCTGTGTGGTCCCCCTTCTTAAAGAGGGGGACCACCAGAGGATCCTTCCAATCCTGCGGAACCCGTGCAGTGGTCCAGACTGTTGTTATGATATCATGTCGGGCAAGTCTGTGCACAAACGCCACCCTCCCTCAGCATTTCGTTTGGGAGATCATCTCTGCCCGGTGCCTTTCCTGGTCTCAGACTCTGGACCTCAGCCAGCCACTCACAGGGGGTGACTTCTTACAATATTTGAGACACCGCAGCCTCAGCAAGGTCATCCCCACTTTGTCCCACGATGTTTTCCATGCCAAGGGATTTCCCCTCTCCCAGGACTTCACAGAAATGCTCAGCAAATCTGCAAACCTGTTCCTGGGGGTCGGAGATTGGATCACTGTTGTTTCCCCTAATGATGGTAATAGGTGTGGCACTGCAGGTTACTTTTTTGATGGAGTTGAATAGCAATTTGTGATCGCGGGCCATTGAGGCAGACTCCATCTCCTCAGCAACCCGCGACCACCACCCATCCTTGCAGTGCCTCACGGCTCTCCGAACCTCCGAGCGAAGGCTCCGGTAAGCCTCCTCATTCTCTGACGTGGGATGCTGTCGACGATGAGAGTGGGCCTGTCGCTTTTTCTCAGCCAACCTGAACATCTCCTCTGTCAGCCAGGGTCTCTGGGGAGGTCTGGACCGTGTACCCAAATCAGCCGTTGCAGCTGCATGAGCCACAGTCCCTAAACCTCGCCCATTTCACCTCGACATCTGGAGCAGTGGGGACGATGCCAACCTCAGCCGCAAGCGATGATTAAATTCTCGCTTGCAACTTTCATCAGCTAGCTGAGACCAGGCCACCTTGGGTTTGAATGGGGTCCTGGGTGTACACCCACCACCGGAGTGGAAGAATGGCAGGCGCATATTACAGATGACAAGTCGATGGTCAGTGGGCAGATCAGCTCCACGGTAGGTCCTGGTGTCAAGGACATGGGCCCGCATCCGCTGTTCCGTCACTACGTAGTCCAGCAGATGTTCTTGCTTGGACCCGGAATGCTTCCATGATGTTGTGTGGATGCGCCAATGCCGGAACAGCGTGTTGGTAATTACAAGCCCATTGGCTGCACAAAAATCTAGCAGCCTCCTACCATTGTTATTCAGCTGATCTGGCCCATGCCTTCCAATCACTCTAGACCAGGCACCAGCATCATGCCCAACTCGGGCATTGAAGTCGCCCAACAGGATGACTCTATGCCGAGGGACCACTTTAGCTAGCACCTGTGACAGGAAGTCATAGAAGCCTTCTGACTCATCGGCCTTGCCTGCATCCCTCCATGGATGTTCGTCTTCGGTGGGGGCATAAGCAACCATGACCACCACTCTTCGCCTCCGGTTGATGGGAAGGCGAGCCCAAAGTAATCTGGGGCTTACTGCTTCCCACACCACACTGCCAGGCTCCCACGTCCCCTTCATTATTTTGTTCAGAAGAGCCATTCCCTGTTGTTTGGTAGTCTCCTACTCCGAGTAGAGGACTGTCCACCCCTCATGGTGGCAGGAGCCAGAGCCGGTCCACCGGACCTCCTGAATACCACAAAAATCCAGGCAGTACCGGTCCAGCTCCCGACACAGTAGTGGCAGCCTCTCCTCCGCAGTGAGCTTTCGAACATTCCACGTGGCCACCCTCAGTGTTTTTTTAAAAATAATTTCTGAAGGAGCCCCGAGGGTAAAGATTCAATCTCCTGGCTCCGCCAAATGGGGTTTGACCAGGAGACGTCATAGACGCCTGTCCCCCCGGGGCCTCTGGCACAAGCTTATTAATTAGATATTTTAGATTTGGTTTTGTGGTAATTAATTCAAGGTGGAGGGGTTACCAGCCCCTCGCACCCATCCAGAGCCCCCATTTGGCCGCTGTGGTGGTTACAAACGCCATGAGTGGAATGGCCAATCTAACATGGACCTCCCCCCACGATCACCACCACTGCCACTCACCATCATCGTCACTACCATCAATATCACCACGTATGTTGAACTTCTTTCGCACCGTAAGTAGCCAACCGTGCTAATCGGAGGTGCAGAAGGACAACAAACTAAACACAACAAAAAGCAGTGATATCATTACCGCCCTCACACCTGACCCCACAACTCTCACCCCAACTTCTTGACCTTGCGCCCCCTCACCCTACCACCCTCACCATGCTCCTCACACCACAAGCGCGCCGCTCACCCCGTGGCCTCCACCCGTGCACGACGCCCCTCTCTCCCACCAAAGCCCTCATCCCACGTCCCTCAAACTCATCCTGCTTACCGCCGCCTAACCCGTGCTCATCACGCCAACGGCATGTTGCTCACCACCCCCCACCCCCCGTGCCCCTCAACTCCCGCGCAGCTTGCCCCTCACCCCCCACCCCCCGCACCGCTTGCCCCTCACTACCCACCCCCCCCCCAATCGACCCCGCAACCCCCCCCGCGCAAATCGCCCCTCACCCCCCCCCCCCCGCTCGCCCCTCACCCGTGTTGCAGCACGATGACATTGCGGTCGGGGTCACAGTAGAGCTTCTCCAGCGGGTCCTGGGCATGCTCGGGGAGGCTCTCCCACTCATCCCCTCCGGCCTTCGCCATGCCGACCGTGCCACCGCCGGTGTCGCCGCCGCGGTCTCCGCCGGGCAGCCCTGGCCAGGGCCCCGGCCTCGCCACGGGCCTCCGCTTGCGCAGCTGCCAGTGGAAGGGCAGCGTGGTGTGGTGGCGAGGGCACGTGGCCCACAAGTCGCAGTCGCCCGCCAGGAAGGGAGCGCAGATCTCCACGCCGTCCACGTGGTGCGTGTGGCGCTGTACCGTCTGCGGGAGACACGCCGGAGACTCAATTAGGAACACGCGCTGTGCCAATCATCGCCCACCTCCTCCCTACTGAGAATTCTTAACAATAACCCTCCTAAAAAAGAGCATCTTGAGACTCGGTTAGGGCTTAGTTGGGTAAACAAGCACGACAATAATCATAATCCAGGCTGAGATTGTTTTAGTAATGGACCGCTACACTCGTTCTTTGGATCGGCGGTTTCCAATTTCTTCATCGGAGGATGGAGTCTGAGAAATACAGTAGAAGCTTCCTCATGTCACGCTTGCAAATGCCAAGTCTTGGTGGCGTAAAGCAAAACGGGAGACAGATAAACGTCTGGGACATTCCCAACTTTCGAAAGTGAGGCTTTTTCAACGGTTTTACTTCACTTTATTTTTGTTTGTCGTGGTCAAATCTTGTAATCTAAATTACATCCACTTCCTGTTGTTCAATCAATTACACATTTTGCACATGTACCAAGATCCGGTGACAATGCATGCCTGTATCAAAATCAATTAATTCGCTACTTAAAAGCAATTTACATTTTGTATGGACGCCTTATTATTTTTATATTTGTGTAGGTCAAAAACGCCACGGCCCCTAAACTGTGGAATCGGCTTGCCCAAGAAGCAGGCGCCGCGTGTCTCAGGCGCCATTGACATTACTGGACGTTAGCCCCAAAACATCTCCACAATATCGGAAACCAGCACGGTATGTCGATCCAAATCAGACTGCATGGCTTTCCGATTGGTGGATGAAGTCTGGGCACTGTGCGAATTAGTCGTGTGCCACGTCTGGGCGAGAAAGTCATCACTTCCCAAATCGCGTCGGTGAACGAGTAAGAGAAACTCAAAAGAAACGCGTTCGCAAAACCACAGAACGATGGAGAGACGACGACATTTTCTTGAGCGTGGCATCCACAAGTGTTTTTGGCAGGAGAAACGAAGAAAGAGAAAAAAAGCCAAAATGCCTTCAAGGATCTCGCTGTGCTGTCGAGCGACAAGTGTAAAACCAAACAAACCGAAACGGCACTTGGAAGCCGTTCGCGAAGAACGCGTAGGGAAGGCCCCAAGTCGTCGGTTTTTCAACGTGGAAAAGAGGAGTGTTGTGTCGGCAGGAACATTTTTAATTGGACGGGACAGACTGTTTCTGACCGATGCTCAAAGGGGATCTTTCGAGGTGCGCTACAGGATTTCTCAGGCTAAGGAGCATGCATACAACCGTGGGAAGTTGGGTTTCTAACCCGCTGCGATCGACACGGTGAAAATAATGTGTGCGAGAATTGGACGCAATTTAACTGATATCTACACCACCGTCAAACGCTCTGAAGCAGAAAACTGAGGCTACAGCGGGTGATCAGGAACAGACACGAGTTGGCGCACCCGAAACGCACTGCTGATTGTGCTCTTCAAATTCATGTGAACACCGACGGCCGTGATGCGCGCACACACACAGAGTGGCTTTTGTGTGCTATGCTTGTGAGGATGCTGCGTATATTTGAGGGCATTCTTTTCTGTCGAACACCTCCAGAGCACGAAACCGCTCAACCGAATGCTCCGTGCGTGCTGTGTGGCTACACAGAGGGCAAAACGATTCCTTGGGATGGCAGGTTTGGCTTCTCTACACAAATGCTGCTCCATATCTGTGGCACAATACAAGGAACTCACATCTCCGTGAACAGTGTTTCTCCACGTGTTCTTTGGACGCAGAGCATGTGCATTAAGGAACTGGCAGGTAAAGAACATAGCGCAGAACTTGGTAAGATAATCAGTTCACGTCATTTGTGAACCACATTAGATTACTGCGCTAATAATGGGGAGGTCGGCTGCGGATAATTCCAAATCACGGATAATCCAAAAATATAATCATTTTTCATGGGTCTCTATACCAAAACCTACCTCATATAGGTGTAAATTAAAACTCACTAAATAAATAATCGGATAAATCACACTAAATTAAGCACAAGTGATGATTTCGATTGTTACGAACGATCGACCGCTCGATGCGCATGCTCAGTAATAACTTTCCTGCTCCCGTGCAGGACTCGTCCCACTAAGTGGATAGCAGAGCGACGCCAATCAAAGTCAATCAAACTCCACCCACTGTTGTAAAGACATGGCGACTACTGCACTGTAGAGGCGATCACTTGCATTTCTGATCAACTGGTGCAACATATTTGTTCAGTTTATGCACAGTGACTTGTAATAAACATTTCCAAGAATAACAAGGTACAACTGTTTTTAGAGTATTAACTTGGGCTTCAAGGAAAATCCACAAGTTAATTAATTTATGTCAAAATCTCAGTGTGCCAGTTTATCCGATTTGCGGATTAACCGGCACACACTGAGATTTTCGAGAGTCTGCCATACGTCTTTTTGCATGGGGGTTCGATCATCACAATGGGATTTAGTTTCACACTAAGGCTCCTCGGGTGTCGAGAGGAAGGCTGTTGTGGAGAGATTTTCATGAACCGCGAAATGAGCTGATGGCATTTGCAATGGATGTTAAAAAAGTACGGAATTTGTTGATGTTGTCTTGTGATCAGCAGTCTCCTTGCTTACATCACTGACTTATTTGGGACAATAACTGAACTGAATTCGAGTGTGCAGGAAAACAACACGAACGTCAATCAAATAAGTTATTGAATCACAACATTTATGGTATGGTAAAACTATATTTGATCATTCGTAATTGGGGATAATTCGGCACAGCTTCGCTTTGGGCATATTTCCTGTATATTAGTAATTCACCACGAGCCGAATTGCCGTACCGAATGGTCTCATTTCGGCATACATGTGGAGCGACGCCGCATGCCATGACCAAAACAATGACTCCGTCTCGTGCTTTGGACTTTACCTTGTTTAAGCAAGCCAACCCTGTCAGAAATGTCATCTACACCTATGTAATAAAAGACTCCGTCAGGCGATGCTGGTCTCCGTTTGTCTTTTATTCAGGTTCTTCTCTGCACCCCCACTGGCCTCCTCTCGGACCAGAGTCGTTCCGCGCGCGCCCCGCGCACGCTCCCTCTCGCGTGCCACGCACGCTCCTCCGTTAGCTCCTCTATTCCAGCACTCCGCACACCGCTGGCTGACGGCGTGCAGAGGTCCTTCGGCCACGTGGCCGATGGCGCGGATCTTTCCTCACCACACAACGTGGCTACCTCTTAACTTCCCCAAATGCCCCGATCTCTTCCGGGCTCCCACTTATATACATTCCCCCCACGTGACCCCGACTCTTCCCCTTCCGGATCGTCAGATCCGGCCTTCCCATACTACCCCGCTGGCTCCGCCCCCATTCACCTCGCCTCCCATTGGAACCGAGGTGAACGGTGGCCCCTCCCACACGCCCCGCAGACCAGGCTCCGCCCCCCAATACCCAGGGCCGTGTGATTGGACCAGAGCCCAGCAACAACCCCATTTACGCTCGCATTACACCTACATCAAGAAGTAATAGAAAGGAATCGAGGTATAAATCCCTTAGTCTGTGAGAATTGATGTGGAAAACAAATTTGGCAGGAGGCACTGGGGAGTACCACTGTACATATTTCAAAATATCGGATAATTACACAAGGCCAGAGCCCCATATGTCGAATTAACAAGGGTTTACTCTATATATTTATTTCTGGAAGGCGAATTTGTCCAAATTGAGCTCTTGAGGTGTCATTGTCGCAGACCAAAGCTGTTGATGATGTCAGCACCGCCCACTATGCAACGCATTCTACCCGACCCCCGCCAGATCCCCCAGCAGACTCACATACAAGACCCACAGCCTCGCACCAAGACCCACAGATGTGCCCCGACCGTATCCACCACCATCCTGCTCTCTTTAGGTCTTCTCTACCCCTCCGGTCGCTCAATTCATGGAGACTGCTCCATCGCCGGTCTCGGCAATCAGCCTGCCCACGTCCTGGCTGATATTATCTACAAGATGAACCTGCCACGTTTCATTCCCAACCTCCAAAGCTGCTCATCTCATCCTTTCCTCCTACATTCTGCATGACCCAAGCCACTTTTATCTGGTGGTGGCGGATTAAACGACACATTTATATTTACGCACTCTAACCCAAAAACCTCTATCTATATATATAAAAGTCAAAAATTGTTTGTAGCGGGGTTTGTGGGTTTGTTCGTGTGTTCGCTCTCCCACGTAAAATAAAAATAGCCAGGTACCACGCCGTAAGCCCCGCCGTGAGCAAGCGCTATTCCTTTTTCACATACGTCAACTTTTAATTAGTTTAATTAGCGATTTTGTGCGATTTCTGTGTGCTTTCTTATTATAATTTTTTTTATGACAGCGTGCACGACCATACCAACTCACGCGCCTTTGGTGGGGAGGATGGCAATTCTTCACTGTGCGATGTCCCCCCCCACCCCGATGCGTACAGTTACTACTACACAGTCGTATAGGCCGTAGATATTACTGCAGAGCAGCCGGGGAAATCGTGGCTGGGGGGGGGGGGGGGGGGGGGGGTCAGGGGTAGCAGCCCAGCCCCAGCCTGCCAAGGTGCCACCTCGGCCAACTGGACAATCTAGGCGAGGCCGGAGGCTCTGCACGTGACTAGGCCTCACCACGCCACTCTGTCAAGCGAGTACTTTGTGCTATAGAGTCGATAAATACTGCTATAGAATCAACATTTACTACTGTAGTGATAGCAGGTATCACCACAGTTAGTTTTTCTTTTTTAATTTGACCCGGGCAACGCCAGGTACTTCCCACTAGTTATGGATAAAAGTGGTCGTGAAACCCTATGTGTTAAACCTTCTTTTACTCAATCATCTCCACCAATGATGGTTTCCGCAATATATTTTTTCACATCACAACATTCATTCTTACGACAGGCCACCATACCGTCGCCTGCGGGCAAACCTCCTTACCACCGGGTACTCATTTCAAGCCAAGTCGACCTAGGGGAGAGGTCCAAGACACAGCTACGCACACACCGACCTGCAGAAGCTTGGTCATCGCATCCAGGTCGTCCATTGTCACGGCCAGATCCTCGTCC